TTCTCGATTATCTTCATTTGTAATTCATCAAGTTTTAACAAGTCGAAATCTTTACACTCTTCGATAACTACATAAATTATATCAAACTAGCATCGAAGATTCTCAAAACTTTCTCCACCACTACATATTCTTTCAAGTTTTCACCACATGACTTCATGAAGTTTGTGACAAATAACAATCTTACAAAATATTATTGAATGATTTATTGCGTCCTGATCTGTAACAACTCATACTGACGACGCAATATTTAAAGTTGCATCACCTTCAACCTCTCACCACTTACGTAAATTTGCACTAGTATATCCCTGACTTCTTTCGTCGAGTTTACCTATGCAATATTCTTAAAGTTGTTTTTATTGACACACTACTAAATGTAAAACATTATTTTGTAGTCACGTATCTTTTCTTCTCAAAATGTGGCACACTGTATTTTGATGAGGTTCTCTGATAACCCTTTATATCTATTCATAATTATGTCCAAAACTTCTTAAAACCCAAAAATGGTTTTTATCTTCATATATAAGTTGTTGTACTCATTTAAGTTCTTACTATCGAGTACTAAGATACTCGTTATACAAACCAGTTCCTACCATCACTATTTTTCTATTTCTTCCTTAATCCTAAAATTCTCGATACTACTCTTAACAAAAAAGAGGACAAGTATCAAATGAGATGTATCAAAAAATGTTTGAAAAAGAAAATAAATATTCTATAATGGCATGATATTTTATAACATGAACTTAATTAATTAGACTAACATGATATTTTATAACATGAACTTAATTAATTAGACTAATTATTACACCATTGAATTATCTAACATTTTCATAGTATATTAACATGCTAGAATAATTTTATATTTATGTAGAATTTATTATTGATAAGATTTATAAATAATGCATTTTTTTTAATATCTACTATACTGTAGTAAAGTTTTGATCTTTAAAATAATCTATAAATTAATGAATTACTATATTTTTTATTTTAAAAAATAAATTGATTCTGATTGTTTCAAGAAATTGAGCAAAGTTCATTAAATTGATTTGTTTTTGTTTAAGTGTTTTAATTTATCCTGGAACAAATCAATTCCAACCTTCTAGAGTTTTTTTTTAATGATATAGACAAGAAGAATGCAATTATAAAATAGATATTAAGGTTGAAACGTTAATGTTATTTTTTAATAAAAAAATTAAATACACTTTTATAATTATAACTTGTTCTAAGTACATATTCCTTCTCTATAAAATTATTTAATTTTTAAATATAGAAAAAAATTAATTATTTTTTCATAAAACTAAAGATACAATGAAGATAAAAAATGAATTTAAACCTATATAATATTTATTAAACAAACCTATCAAATATATATATATATATATATATATATATATATATATATAAACTTAAATTAAATAAAATCCTTTATCGAGAATATCAGACTCGACATGGGAAGCTAGTTTAGCCTGTGTTTGTTTGAACTGATTTACTGTTCACGAAGATAGAAATGAGAGATTCAATTCGTTTGTTGCAAGTGATTTGAGAGGATTTGCAGGCGCGGATTTGAGGGAGAGGGGAGGAAAGCTCACCCTGAAGATTTGAGAGGATTTGAGAGGATAACAGAGAAAGACACATCATCAAATAATAAATGACTTATTTACCCTTCTGCATGTGAACACACAGTGTATCCAAGGCACCTCGCGATGGTTGTATATGATAGCGGTTAACTGCTATCTAATATATATTTTAGATAGCGGTTAAACCAAAACCGCTATCTAATATATATTTTAGATAACGGTTAAACCATAACCGCTATCTAATATATATTTTAGATAGCGGTTAAACCATAACCGCTATTTAATATATATTTTAGATAGCGGTTAAACCATAACCGCTATCTAATATATATATTTTAGATAGCGATTAAACCATAACAGCTATCTAATATATATTTTAGATAGCGGTTAAACCATAACCGCTATTTAATATATATTTTAGATAGCGGTTAAACCATAACCGCTATCTAATATATATTTTACATAGCGGTTACAGAGGAACCGCTATTATATCCTCCAATTATGATCGATCATTTCCAAAATCTAATCGATCAGAATAAAATTTCGCTCGAGCGAGATATAGTCGCTCAAGCGAAACACAACCCAAGACTCAAGAATGGTTGTATATAGGGAGCTTATAATAGCGGTTAAACCTTAACCGCTATCTAATATACACTTTAGATAGCGGTTACAGAGGAACCGCTATGATATCCTCCAATTATGATCGATCATTTCAAATTATGATCGATCAGAAGCAAATTTCGCTCGAGCGAGATATAGTCGCTCAAGCGAAACACAACCCGAGACTCAAGAAACATAAAATATGGTTGTATATAGGGAGCTTATAATAGCGGTTAAACCTTAACCGCTATCTAATATACACTTTAGATAGCGGTTACAGAGGAACCGCTATTATATCCTCTAATTATGATCGATCATTTCAAATTATGATCGATCAAGATCTTGTTTCGCTCGAGCGAGAGTAGTATCGCTCGAGCGAATTACAACCCGAGACTGAATCTTAAAATATTTTTTTGAATATTATGTTTTTTAATTTGCTATTAGAGAAAACCTTTCAGAATTAAAAATGTTAAATACTTTTAAATATTAAAATTAACTTTATCAAAAATGAGGAAAACAAAATTTATCCAAAAGAGTTCAAAAATGTATAAGAGTATTCTCAATTTTGAGTTTAATTATATTGTTCGTTCTCAAAGTAGAAATTTATATTGTAATTATTTTAATTTACATTTTGTGATCTTCTTAAAATTAGCATCAATAACATTAGACTTTACATTTGATTCATACCTAACTAATTATAGATTAAAAGGAAAGTGGTATAACCATGCATTTTACTTTTCTATTTACCTTATTCTTTTAATTATTTTATATAATAATAATCAAAATATTCACATTCATATGGGCATTTTCGAAAATAATATTATTGTATTATTGTTAAAATTAACATCAATAACATTACACTTGATCTTCTTAATTATATTGTTCATTCTCGGAGTAGAAAATTATATTGTAATTATGTTCAATTTATTAAAAGTGTAATTAAATCTCTATTTTCTTAATTTTTTTTGTTTCAAACTTCTCAATTCTACATTTTTGTAACTTCTATCATTATATTATCATCCTCATCTCCTCCCATGTTCTACTTTATCTTTACAATAGTTAATATTCTTAAATAATCTATATTTTTAATTATAATTTTTTAATATATATTTTGAAATTAATCAATTCTAAGCTATTATTTGAAAAACTAATCAATTCTAATCAATAATTTAGAAAAATAATCGATTAGAATTAATTATTTGAAAAAATTATCAAATATGATCGATCATTTCGAAAATCTAATCGATCAGAATAAAATTTCGCTCGAGCGAGATATAGTCGCTCAAGCGAAACACAACCCGAGACTCAAGAAAGGTTGTATATAGGGAGCTTATAATAGCGATTAAACCTTAACCGCTATCTAATATACACTTTAGATAGCGGTTACATAGAACCGCTATTATATCCTCCAATTATGACCGATCATTTTAAATTATGATCGATCAGGATCTTATTTCGCTCGAGCGAGAGTAGTATCGCTCGAGCGAAATACAACCCGAGATCGAATCTTAAAATATTTTTTTGAATATTATGTTTTTTAATTTGCTATTAGAGAAAACCTTTCAGAATTCAAAATGTTAAATAATTTTAAATATTAAAATTAACTTTATCAAAAATTAGGGAAACAAAATTTATCCAAAAGAGTTCAAAATGTATAAGAGTATTCTCAATTTTGAGTGTAAGTGATTGAATGATCTGAATTGGAGGACTTGGACTTGACTGCAAAAGATGAATAACATTATAATTATTTGTTTGAAGAGAATTAGTGTGCATAGGTTTATAATTTTAGTAATGTTTCATTTAATTATTATTCTATTTTCACTCGTATTTTATATTTGTTTTAAATAATAATGTACAATTATATTATTAGTTTTCATAATTATTTGTTATTATCAATCAATATTAATTATTATTTTATATTTTATAATTATTTAATTATTAGTCAAATAATTTATTTAATATGTCAACATTATTTGAATATGGATATGCAATGTACATAATTTTGTAATTGTTTATTTATATAATTTTTAATAACTATCTAAAAAAAGTTAATTTTGTAAATTTGTTTCCAATTACAAACACTTTTAAATTTGTTTTTTCTTTTAACTATATAATCAATGTTAAAATATGGATAATTAATTAAAAAATATATTTATAATCATTTGAACCTTATTTTATACAAAAGGTAAAATGGTAATTTTCTTAAATAATCAATTAAAATTATAATTTTTATATCTCATATCAATCAAATCATTCACAATTTCTCATAAACTTTCCTTTCACTTTTCATTCATCCAAACAACTTTAATTTCATCTCCATTTCTTTTCAAATCCCTCCTTTTTCACTCTCTCAAATCACTCCAACCAAACAAAAAATTAGGTAGCAAACAAAAGCAGTTCTGGAGGCTTCCGCAGCAGATAACTCCAGTCCATCCCTGTGTCCCTACCCACGAAACAAACGGTGATGATACCATGCCTTGTAATGATAATCACAATAGCTAAAGCCAAAATGGTATCTGATCCTGATTCTCGTGCTCAAAAAACATCATCACCATCGCGTGGGCCCCACCTGCAAGGAACAATTTACTTTCTTTAACCGGTCACGACGGAGTTTTTTATACAACAAACAATATTTTAATTTTAAACTTATGCATGAAATGACCGAACTGCACTCGCTCCTTCTCTTTATAACGAAACGCACACTCCACACGCACTTCCTATCCCATTCTCAGTCGCGGGTACTTTCGCAGGAGAGCCAAGGGGCAAGTACAACTTTTTATTTTTATTTTTTTTGTTTTCTTTTCCTTTTAGAGAGAGAGAGAGAAAATGTTGGGGATCTTCAGTAGTTCCGTGGTGTCGCCGCCCGAGGAGCTGGTGGCCGCCGGCAGCAGAACGCCGTCGCCCAAGACGACTGCGGGGAAGCTGCTGAAGCGGTTCGTGGAGAGCAAGGCATCGGCGGTGTCGCTGCAGGTGGGGGAACACGTGCAGTTGGCTTACACGCACCACAGCGAGTCACCGTGGCATCCCAGGTATTCTTAATTTCGCAAATTCACACCGCAAACACGTCGTTTTGTCAGGAGCGTGCTGATGCTCACTGAACTCATAGGAAGAGCGTTTGAAAAATAAAATTCCAAGGAAAATTAATTAATTAATCGTTAATTCTGAAGATTTCTTTCTGACGGAAAATGGAAGAGTCTATGTGATCGGTTATTGTTAGTGTAAATCATGCGAGAACATAGTTGGTAAAAAAGTTAGTTGCTGCTGCTGATCATATTGCATGCGATGTATTATTCCCTTAACATGATGAACAATTTTTATTATGATTGATCGTGTTTTTTTTTTTTTAAATTAAAACCTGGTAATATTTTCAGTTTTGAGAAATATTTTACTTAATTTTCGTAGTAAAATTATAAACAAACGTAAATTAAAAAAATTATACAAGTATAATTTTTACAATAAAAAGAAGGTAGACTATCAGAGACAATAATATGTTATAAAACATAATACTTTACAGAAAAATATTGTAGATATAGTATAATCTTGTTATTTTTGTTTATTTTTATAAATATCATATACTTCTGTAAATTGAAATTTTGTCCTCTTATTTTTATCTTCCTGCGTCCACTCTTTTTCAAAACAAAATCATTTAATACATTTTGATATATATATATATATATATATATATATATATATATATATAAATATTAATCATGTTGTAAATAAACATTATCTTTAAATTTTATGAAAATTTATTTTTCCATTATATCTAATGGACACTTATTAAAATTTGTCTTTTGTAAAAACCACTCTATTCTTAAATTTTGTCAGAACCCAAAAGACATGAGCGATTTCTCTGTCTTACTATTTTTTTCCCTAAAAATATTCCTACATATATATTGTCAGAAATGGAGATAAATAGAACTGGAAAATAAATAGTAATGAGTGAAATTGTTCATATTTTGCGGAAGGCAAGAAAAGGAGCGACAAAGTAGAAAATACGTCATTTTGGGTAATAGTAATTGTTTGGTGTGGGTGGGTGGGTGAGTGATTGATAGTATTTTCTAGAGTAATAGTTTCATGATGATACGACTAACGAGGAAAGTGAGATGACTATTAATGGTACGGCTAAGGAGGAAAGTGGGAGATTCTTGTATGACAATATGGAGAGAACAAGTGAGCGAAGGATTCGAGGATTCTTGTCAAATTTAAAATCTTAATCATAATCAGATTCTTGAAAAATAATATTAATAAAGTAATAATAGCTAATTAATATGTAAATAATATTATTATTTTGTAAAATGTTTAAAATACATATGAAAGTATAAATTATCGTAATATTCATACTTGAATTTTGATAGCAGAAAATGATATTAGTAATAAATTTTTATACTAAAAATGTTTATTGTTACTTTCACTTTAAAAAAAATTATAATGATTGTAAAAAAAATATTGTTTCATTGAACAACCTGTTATGAAATAGTGTTTTTTATTTAATTTCATTTACTGATGTCTCAGTTTTGCCGTCTGATTGGTGATTCTGGTCCAGTTTTCAAAATATTGCTATTTTGGAAATCATAATATAGATTCTCTCCAACTTTTTTTTTTTTTTTTTCAATTACAACCAAATAGTGTATAACAAAATAGTTTAGATACTACAAAAAACAAGGTTTTTTTTTTTCCTTTTTACTAAATAAGAGATTGCCAGCAATTTGACCCATGTAATTGACAATGTTTTTGCTAAAAAGTGATGTCCAGTATAACACTGAGCATCTATTTAACTTTAGTATAGAAAATCTTTTCGTCCCATCTGGGACCGATAGATAGGTAGGTGGGTGAAGAGTTATTGCTAAATTATTTTTGGACTTTCTGAAACAGTTAAAAGCTTCTGTGGCATGCTCTTATGTGGTCATATTATTATTATTATTTTATTTAAAAATATAATATACCAATAAATATACTCGTTTTGAAGATGTATAATTCTTTTGTATAATTTTTTTGAATTTTTATATTAACAACAAAAATATGTGCTTTTATATAATTTTAAGGTGTATAATTATACTGGTTCACGATCTCTTTTAGTACAAGAGCTTCTATTTTATGTAGTTTGTGGATCCAGAGTGAGTTGTTGAATCCATTTCCTTGATTCTTGTGGTTTGTTGAAGGCCGGGGTTGATCTTTGTTGAAAAAGTGGATCCCATTTTGCTTGGACCTTCTTTATTAGTAAAAATTGATCTTGTACATAGAAGTCAGAAAATGGAACGAGACCATTGGATCAGTTAATATTCAGTTTGTTTGAAAACAATATATTAACGGAAGATACACGCTATACCGTTGTTTTAATTGCTCATTTTTTTAACTGAACTTTAAAATAAATTAAGAAACGTTTGCTCGGTCTGCAGTTTTTTTTTTAATAAAATAAAAATATAATTTTGGTTCATCTTCAATTCTGTTCCTTTTTATTTTAGTAGTTATTAAATATATATAAAAATATCTTTTGATTCGCGTTGATCTGGTCTTTCTACCAATTACATCTTAAGTATGCATTCCTTATGCTTAAATTAAACTAAATTACGATGAAAATATAGTCTAAATTGAATATAAAACTGAATATATTTTTACCTACTAATTTTATTGGTAAGCTCTATGTTTTTTATTGACAATTCTTGTCCTTATTTTTTTTATTTGTTTTCTTCGGCAAATTTACGAGAAATTATGTGGGCACTGTAACGTTATCTTTCAATTATTGGCATGTACATTGCGTATGCATTTTCCACTTCAAAATGCTGACTTTTATTCGCTGAACTATTGTTTTCATTCCATTATTTTGCTTTTCTGGCCCAAGGAGGACGGACCAAGATAAATGGATAAGGATAACATAAATTAGGTTGGTGGGACCAAAGGATTGAAAACACTCTGATGAAGCTATTTATATTCTTGTAATGAAGTTTTCTTTTTTTATTCATTTGTCAATAATCAATCAAAAGTCAGACGGGTAGTTTTTATTTAAAACATGCTATTGAATCTAAAATGAATACCTATATTTCACTATTTGATTGTAGTCAGTAAATGTATAAAAAAATATGTTTGCTGAATATTCTACAATTGAAATGAAAAACAGTAAACAAACTTAATTTAAATCAAAATCAACCTTATAAAGTAATTTTAAAACATTTACAAAAACATACTCAACATATTATATATAGTGGGAATGCCATTACAAGATTGGTTGGATGTCTTATTCCTTTTCTCTCTTTTGTGTGAAGGTGCAATAAAATCGTTAATTACTAATTTACTAATTTTTTCTAATATTAAAAAAGAACTAGGTTACTTTTTGTGGACGTATAAACTAATTAAGGCAATTGAGTATTTTGAAATGTAAGGCTTTACTTGAGGGAAGAAAAGTGTCATTTAGATGATACTTGATAGGAATGATACAAATAAATCTTTTGAATTGGAGCAATGCACAAGTTACCTCTGTGTTTGAGGCTTTGAGCATATTCTTCTTCTTATTAACCCATATAGGCTATGGATGTTACAGACTACTTCCACGTAAATTTTGCGCTTTGTCTCTCAACTACTAGTTGTTTTAGGTAAATATAGTAACTATGGTAGTGAAAGATATATGACGTTTTCAGTTAGATTTCACTGTTTCAATGTCTCTAATTGAATTTTATCTATCTATTTATGTTTTTGGTCTAAATGCAAAGTGTAAAATGGCAGATCATTTGCTGTTAAGGATGAAATATTCTGCTTGTTTGAGGGGGCTCTCGACAATTTGGGCAGTCTGAGACAACAGTATGGACTGGCCAAGTCAGCCACTGAAGTGATTTTGGTGATTGAAGCTTACAAAGCTTTGCGTGATCGAGCACCCTACCCTGCCAATCGTGTTGTATGCCACCTCAGTGGGAGTTTTGCTTTCATAGTTTTTGACAAATCCACTTCTACCCTCTTTGTGGCTTCTGTAAGTTATCTAGCAATCCCATCAATTTGTCATGATCTTTAGTCTCTTTACTCAACCTTGTCTCGTATTGTTTTTGACAGGATCAAGCTGGTAAAGTTCCTCTCTATTGGGGAATCACAGCTGATGGATACGTAGCTTTTGCTGATGATGCAGATTTGCTTAAAGGTTCTTGTGGCAAGTCGCTTGCTTCTTTCCCTCAAGGTGTGTTTAATTTTGTTAAAGCGTATGACAATTCTCAACATTTTGGCAACTGTTTGTTACAAGTGACCCACAAAAGTGCTTGTAGTTTTAGTGATCCTAGATTGATCATTCTTCCCCTCCCCTTTAAGATGATGATAATTCATAATTTATAACTAGAAGAAGGGAAAAATGAAAAATATTACATGCACCAAATTCTTAGAGGTTTTATACAATGACGTTGTCTATGTTTTGTTTCTTATTTATATCCCAAAATTGTAAGTATTCTTCTCTCATTATTGACATTGTTATTCTCTGAATTGTACAGGATGTTTCTACTCTACTGCAGTTGGAGGATTGAGATGCTATGAGAATCCAAAGAATAAGATTACTGCAGTACCTGCTGAGGAAGAGGAAATCTGGGGTGCAACTTTCAAGGTAACTACACAACAAGAGTTTAAATATAATCGCTGGTACAACTTTCAGTTATCTTTGCAGAATATTCTTTTCATCTGTTTAGAATAGAGATCAGTCCCAATAATAATAGGAGGTTAACCTCACAGTAGGTGGTATAAAGGGAATTGTAAGGTCAGATACAATAGAACGGGAGTTCATAAAAACGCCATGCATACAGCAACATCTCACTAAATGAAAGGTTTGGTTTCCAAAATGAAGGGGTTAGACTAATTTAAAGTTAATCTCCACATCTCTTTTCAGAGCTTAAAAAGTTAGAGTTGCAGTTAACGATGTAACTAGAATTGCAAGTTGCAACTAAATTTCACTGAGGTAATAAGATTTTAATTCATATTAATAATTCTCCTTAAAACACCCGTAATAGCAAAATTAGAATGTATGTTTGATTGGCTCTCAAGTGGTTGGCAAGTCTTGTTTAGGTACAAGGTCTGTGGCCTTGGTTAGCAAGAAACAAAAATGGAAACTCCACCACACAAAATATTATTTATTTAAGGTCTTTGGCCTGGGTTATAAAGAAAAAAAAAAATGGAGACTCCACCACACAAAATATTATATATTTAATCCTGACAGCTTGAGTTCCAAAATTTATTTTTCCATGCATGGTTTCTTCTCTCCATAAATTTGATACATCTCTTATGATCTGTTTTGGGTATTTGATGCGATGAATTGTCAGGTGGAGGGGTCAGCAGTTATTGCAGCCACAGAGTAGAAGATCCATCAAAAGATAGAGTATCGTGTGATGCATAAACGAAGTAATGTGTTTATGTGGTTGTGACTGTAAGGCATGCATGAGGGGCCATGTAAATACCTTTGATGATAACTATGCGAAGAGTGCGAACGGTGGAAAAGTTTATTATGGTCTAGTTTGTTCCTTAGATAGGGTTTATTCTGTTTCTCGTGTACAGTTGCGCTTTCTAATGTAATAAAAAAAATTATATGCTTTTGGTCTAAAGGTTCATTAATACTACTCATAAATTTCCACTTAATATTCAATCGTCCAATTTCCTTATCAACAGCATTTTGGTACAAAATTCTTCTCTTATCAAGCAACTGGAATATTTTGTTGATCTATAAATACCCTTGGATAAAAATAGAAAGTCAGAAAACAAAAATTGAGAGTGAGAAAAAGGTCACATCAAAATGAAAAAGAAGTAATACAGAATTTATTGTCCACATTTGAAGCATGTATAGCTTACAGTAACATCATCTCAATATTATAAAATTGACATGATGAAACATAAAATGTGAAGAAACAAATTTTAAGAAATAAAAATTAAAAGAGAAAAAACATATTTGTTAATAATTTATCTCCTAACGGCTTGTCAGTTATCCCATTTATGAATATGTCTTAGGTTATTTTTTTTTAATTAAAAATCATTTATATAATTTTTTTATATTTTAAAATTTAATAAATTAGTCTTTAAATTTTGAAAACAAGTTTGAATGTAGTCTCTTTTTTTATCTATGTTAAAAAATATTAAATTTAGATGAAAAAAAATTAAAATTATAGTTGTCTTTTTCATAAGTTTTATTAAGATAAAAATTTAATTATAAAAAAATTAAGATTATATATTTTTAAACGTTAAAAAAACCAAATTGATAAATTAAAAATATAAAAATCAAAAACCAATTTTTTTAAGTACAATATTCATATTAAATATTAGATTTGGTTAAATTTATCGTTCAATCTAATTCAAAATTTTAAAAAATTAGTTAAGTTAAATTATATATATATATATATATATATATATAAAACTCTTGAAGTTAGTCAACTAATTACATATGTTAAAAAATATTATTATTTTTAAAATTATAATTGCAAAATATTTTTTAAAATAAAATATATTATTTAATATTTGAATAATTTAATATTTAAAAATATATTTAATTATAAAAATAGTTAATTAAATAGAATAATATTTATATTTATGTTATTATTATTATTATTAACATTACATAATATAATTCTTATTAGACTGGTAGGGGTCGGTAAGAGGATTTAATTTCGAGTTTCAACTTCATCTTCGATTTGGAGGATGTTGAAGAACATATATCCACTTATAAAAGACATTTTGATACTCAATCAATTTTTAGACAAAAGAATAATGTATTTAAAGATGTGAGAATTGACTATTACGATGTTATCATAGTAAACATGAAATCGGAGACTCTTATTCTTAGATATGTCGTAGGATCGGGAGTTGAATCTCGCTCAACTCATACCCCTTAGTCCTCGACTAGAAGTTTATGTTCCAGTCTCACGAGTCTCAAATTGCTTAGGAGTTGAACTAATGATAGTTTATATACACTTTTCTCTTTTAATCTATCAACGTATTTTTTAAGAACAAAATTATGACAAATAAGAGTTTCAAAGTAGACATTATAACGAACACGAGAATCTAACATATATAAAATCAGGACACATATAATATTTTTAGGTATACTTAGATTCAATAAGTAAAATTTGAGTCATCATTAAATTTGATTGTGTATTAAGTAGGAGTTAACCTAAAAATTAAATGAAAATTACAATTAATAAAAGATATATATTTTTATTAATAGTATTACTTCCTATTGATCTCATTTATATAATATATCAGATATTTATAATGTGAATTATTTTCTATTTTTTTAGCAATTTTAAATCATAATGAAAAAATATATTATAAGAGAAAAAAAGCCACCAATAGAAACTATTATATCTCAAAAAGAAAATAGATATATGTACTTTATTTATCTTTCATTATTAATAGGATATTTTATTATGTAAATTACATATTATTATAAATATAATAAATAAAAATATGAATCTATATTTTACTTAATATATTTTAAATTGATTTAACATAATCTTGAAATTTATATTTATTATAATAGAATAATAGATTAAAAAACTTAAATAACTCGTGTAATTTGAAATTTACCACTCAGAGAAAAACTCACCAATAACTTCTTTCCTATGTTCTTATTATGAGACATAATTTAAAAAAAAAATGTGGAATGAAAATATATTGATATAATTTTTATTTAATATTTTTATTGACTACAATATTTTTAAAACTGATCTCACATATATTATATATACAAAATTTTGTATTAATATTAAAATGATTTAATATCTTGTTTTACTAGTTAAAATTTCAAAATGTATATTTTTTAAAATATACAAAATATGAATATTTTGATAACTTGTTATTATTGATCCATGTTTAACAAAATTGAACATGAATATAAAACTTTAAATTAACTATAGCAAAATTAATAAGAATAATATGCAATTATAATTTAATTATTAGATCAACAAAATTATTTTTTATATAATTTTTTTAAAGATGTAATATTTAATAAAAGTTAGGATTATATATATGTGGTTTTCTCTTAAGCATATATTATATTACATATTTCAAATCCTATAATAAAGTATTCTTACTTTTTATCAATAACAGTATTCTTGTCAAATATAATATTCAGATATGTATATATTTACAGTTTTTAGTTTGACTATAAAAAATATTCTTTGTTATTATACGCAAAGTACATTTATTAATTGCTCGTTTCAAATTAACTTTTTTTAAGGAACAAAATACAAAAACGTATTTAACGTAAAATAAATGAAAAAAAAATCTCAAAATGTTTGAAATTTGATGGAGTTCAGGCCTTACACTTCCAGAAACTGTAGAACAATCTCTCCAATTATTAGGTTGAAAGTCAGGGAGAAAAATAAAGGAAAATTAGCATAAAAAAATTCAAAATATGTATTTTTATTGTGATCATATATATACTACTCCAATTTATGTTTCTCCCGTGACACAATTTTTTTTATTTTTATTTTAAACAAATTAAATAATAAAATCAATCAATTAAAATAATAAACGCATTAAATTACTAATTAAAGCAATAGAGGATAATTTATTGATCTCATTAAATCTATTAAACATAATTAATTAGTGTTTCTCTCAATATAAAAAGTGAATAGTGATTAAAAAAGAAAATAATAAAAAAATATATCATTTATTCATATAATTTACTTTATAAAAAAATTTATATCATAAATAATATATTAAAAATAAGTACTTAAATAAAATTTATGTAAGTTTATTTATCGAAATAAATTTTATTATCTCTGTATTATTATTTTTATTAAAGAAATTTATTTTTTTATAAAAGTCTAATTAGATAATAAATTGATAAAGATTTATTTTTAAATATTATTTTATGAAATTATTCTGTTTTAAATAAATAATTATCTCTTTTTTATATGTGTATTTTATAAAACGTATATATTGTATTATGATTTATAAAAACGAGAGATAAAGAATATATTGTATTATTTAAATATTTTTTTAAGTTTATTTATCTATTTGTATACAAATAGAATAAAGAAAAATATTTTTATTTTAATAATAAAGTTATTTTCTTTATTTTTCACATTTATTTCCTTTTTTTCTCTCTTCATTTATTTCTTTTTTTTTATTTCTTTTTATTCTTCTCTTACTCCATCTTATGCTTAAATTAAGAATAGTACGTTGAAATTTAACAACATGAATCTTTTATTATTAATGAAAAATAAAAATATTTAAACGATAATATTATAATTTAATATATTATATAAGAAAAAAATATTAAATGATAAAGTTGAGATATTAAAAATATTATTATTATGTTATTATTAAGAAAAAAATTAAATATTTATTTTAAATTATTTTTAATAAATATATTTTTTTAAATACCTAAATATCATAACTAAATTAAAATATAAAAAAATTGATTTAAATTATAAATATTTGATATATTTTTAATTAGATAAATAATTATTTATTATGATAAAATAATTTTAAATTATTTATTTATATCATCATAAATAAAATTATATACTATTAAAATAAATAAAATTATTTAGTATCGTTATAATTTTAAATATTTAATTAATATTTTTTTAATTTTAATGTTATTTTAAAAATATTTATTTTAATATATTTTTGTTAAATTTTAATATAATAATTTAATTAAAAAAATAAATAAAAAAGAAAACAAGAAACATAAAATAAAAAGAAAAAAAGTTAGAATTAAATAAAAATATAAAAAAATAAATAAATTTACGATGAGAAAGAATAAAAATTATATATACACAATAAACAAATTTATTTAAATAAATAAATTTATATAATTTTTATTTACGTAATTTTTTAAAAAATATATTTAAAAAAAAGAATATATATGTAAAAGTGTAAAAGAAATTAAAATAAATAATATAAAAACTCATCTATGAGATGCTTATTTTGAGGTTGATCATTATTAAAATTTATTACAACATTAAAATAATTTATTTGTAACATTAAAAAATTTATTGCAGCATTAAAGGAACTCACTTTCTCTTTGACTTAGACTGTTAAATTCTCCATGTTAGATGATTTGATTAGAACTGAAATCTCAATCTGTGTGGATCTACTCAGAGTTGAGGTATATCTTCTCCCTTCACCTCTTTCTCTTTTCTGCTTCCCATCTCTCACACATCTTTCATGGGTTTTGTTGACAAGGCCGACAACGTTGCTTTAACTCATGGCTTTCAATTTTGTGCGTCTACTTTTTTCAGTTGTTGTGTGTGTTTCATGGAAGCCCACGATAACATTATATTTAAATATTCATTGTCTTTTTATTACTAATTTTTGGTGGAGAAAACTTCAATTTTTAATTTCAAATTATTTGTTTTCTAAGTGATTTTTGAAAATCGGATCGGTTTAGTCGATAATAGGTATATTAATTTCAAATAATTAAATTTGAATTAAATTGGGATAAAAAAAATTAATCAAAATTTTAAGTGCTTTTGAAAATTGGATCGGTTTAGTTGAGAATAGGTATATTAGTTTTAAATAATTAAATTTTAATTAAATTGGGATAAACAGGATAAAATCGTTTTAGATTTCTGAGTTGAATTGATTTGGTAAAAAAAAAATTTAAGAATATTAATTTTTTTTTATAAAAGATATAATATATTTTAATTTTGTTATTTCATATTATCTACATTAATTTTAAATACTAGTTATTTTATTATATTTTTATTTTATTTTAATAATTATTTATTTTTATTGTTTAATATATTTTATATTTATAATTTTTTTAAAATATTATGTCTTTATTAATTTAGTGATCTATCCTATTAAAAAAAATTATTGGTAATAAAAATATTTCTTCTAAAAAATTTCGATTTTTCACATGTTTGATTTCCTTGAGTTTAAAAGGAGGCATGAATGGGTTTGTCTGGGGTCTAATAATTTCTGAACTGGCAAGAAAAAAAAGTCCCAGTATCTCTTATTTCTCTTCTTCTCTATATGGGTTTTCTTGTTATCTGGTAATGCATTTTTATATAATTTTTAACATTATTTTATTTTTATAATTAGTTTTGTAATAATTTAATTTAAGGTTACGCGAGTTATTTGTTTACCAGACAAAATAAAAGGCAAAATCTCTTCGTTAAATGAGACTTTTGTAATTTTTAATTGAAAACCAATTATATAAATAAATAAAGTAATCAAAGCAAAGTTAAGATATACACTATTCTCAGTCTTCTTTCTTTGAATTTGATTACCATATTTTTCATATCTTCATTTTCTTTCTCTTTGCTTTAGAATTGAAATTTCAATACGTTCAAAAGACACTGGAGGTATATCTTCTTCTCTCTTCTCCTTTTTGTGTTTTCTTCTACCCATTTGAAAAACAAATTCATCTAAGTTGACACATTAAATATATATATATATATATATATATATATATATATATATATATATATATATTATTGCCTCTTACAGTATATATATATTGCTAGAAGTTGAAAAAATCCTTATATTTTAATTTAGATGCTCAATATTATCTATGATTCTGATTAAGAGTAATTAATAGAAAGAATGCTTCTTGCATGATCAAAGGTTTGACACATTTGATATTTACTTGAGCTTAGAAAGGTCATGTAATGGGTTTGTGGAGTCTGATAGTGTCTGAATTGGCAAATATATATGATGCTTAAAACATTAGGAGTGTTCTTGATTCAAAGATGTGTATGTATGAGACATATATGAATAAATTGACTTGGACCAATGTCAGTATTTATCATGAGACATATGCTCTATCAATGCTCTTTTCTAAAAGCATATATATATGATGTTCATTTTTTCATGAATTTTGTTGCTTATCTTATAAATGTTCGCATGATTTAAGTTCAATTACAACAGCTAGTATGGATCAAAACCAAAATGGACAACCAGGAAAAGGGATTGTTGGTTCAGCATCAGCACAAGAAGCACGTGGCAAGAAGCAATATGAATCCTACCCCATGATACCACCCTCGACCAATCCTCCTATTCAGATGGTTGGTCCTTCTGCTCCTTCATCCTATCCAGGAGATTATGCTCTCCAATGCATGGACCCACACCAGCAACAGGAGGTGCAGTTGCAGGAAAAACTCAAGAGCTTTTGGGCAAAACAGCAGCAGGAGATTGAGGAGAACACTGATTCGAAGACTCCTAGCGTGCCTCTGTCAAGGATTAAGAAGATCATGAAGAGTGATCCAGATGTGAGGTTGGTTTCAGCTGAGTCTACTGCGGTGTTTGCCAAGGCCTGTGAACTGTTCATTATGGAGCTCACACTGAAGGCTTGGGCTAACGCTGAGGACAACCATAGGAGGACACTTAAGAAGTCTGACATTGCAGCTGCAATCTCAAAGACTGATGTGTTTGATTTTCTTGAAGACATTGTCCCCACTAAGGATGGCACCGACAAAACGGTGAATCGATTCCTTGCAGCCACTGCTCCAACTCCAGCTCCAGCAGAGGCTGTTCCGTACTCTTGTGTGCCACCTCCTCAGCATGTTGCAAGCCCTGCACCACCATTTGCTGCTCCACCAACTCTTCATCAACTTCCTCATGGGCCGCAGACCTATCCTCCAATTCCAGATCCAACAGGTCCCATCCCTAATGAGGAAAATCCTTCTCCTAATTTAGATGATTGAATAAAATCAATAATAAGTACTCAGTGAAACTATTATAATAAAAATCCACCCAATGGTATTTTAATTTGAAATCTGTAGTTTTGGTGTGGATAGGAAATAAATGTGTGAAACTATTTTCAGTTGCACTTTCAGGGATAACTCCCGAGGTTTCTTTCTTATTTGAAGGTTCGAACATCGTTTCTATTATTAGTGTTGTGCTAGTTGCATGTATGCTTCATAGTAGCTGAACGCCAACTAAAGTTTTTAACTTGAAATCATGAGTTTGATTCAGAATTTATGCGTTAAAGTTTTTTTGGAATGTGATTTATTTCAACAGAATTTATGTTTTTGAACTATTTAAGTTGATATTTAATAGGGGTTTATGAATGACCGTAAATGACTTGAAATTTAAAAATACATTAAGGGAGAATTTGATCATTCAATGATTTTAAAGAAATTATGGCTTTTAAAAATGTTAACATGTGTTGTTTTCTTATGAACTCAGCTTGGAAAGTTTGTTGTAAAATTGGAAGTATACTACTATTCATTGAACACAACATGAGATGCATATTCACTCTCATTTTTTTTTTCTTGAATTTTCAATGACCTTTTTTATTTACTTCAAAATGAAGTCTTGTTCAATATATAGAAATTTAATGTTATTCGTTATGTTGTTTGTTATAATTGGTAATAATAATAATAATAATAATAATAATAATAATAATAATAATAATAAGTATCTAATACTAATACTTTGATAAATATCAATATATTTTTTTTTCATTTCTTGATATACGTTAGACAAGGAGTTACAAAATTTTCTTGATTTGTTTTAGGTAATTAAAAAACATTACAAATATAATTTTACTAATAAATTATATGATCATCATATAAGACAATATAATATTATTGTCACCAATTTTAAACCTTAATAAAATGAGTTTGAGCTTTTCTCTTTATATATAATTTTAGACTCATCTTTGCACTTTTTATTTGCTTAAGCTTACAAGGGTCTTATAAGGGTTTTGGGTCCCTTCATGGTTTAATATGATAAAAAAAATTTTAAATATCTTATTCTCTTTTTATCCTCTGTACATGTTTTCTTCTTTCCTTATAGTAATCAAATTAGCTAAAACAATTTTATATAGTTAGTTTTATCATGAGTTTGTTTTGTCAGTAACAATTTAAAAAAAAAAAATTGTATTTTCAATATTTTTAGCTTTAAACTAGATTTTTGTGTTTTTTTTAACTGATGACTCATAAATGTGTTTAACAATAATAAATAACATTATTAATGAAAAAACTTAAAAATATTCATTTATTTTCATATTAATTTGACAAAATTATTTCTTTGTTAAAAAATAACGACACTTCTTTTATTTTGTACAATTTCAGGTGAATATTGATTTGTTCAATCCTTTTCACTTTAAATGTAGTTGATAAGAACATGTGATCTAAAAAACTCTTTTAGAAAAAAAATATTATTTTAATGTAAATGTAGAATTAAAATTATTAATATAAATAAATTTTATATTTATTTTAAACAATTTTATACGAAAGACTTAAATTAAAATAATATTTTTTTATTTAAAAAACTCTTCTAAACGTAACGATGTTCATTAGAAATACTCGTATCAATAAAAATGTATAAAAATAATAAATGTTTGCGGAATGCTTAATTGTTTATATAGGAATGTATAAAAATGTATATAAGAAAATTGTTTATAAAAATGAATCTTTGGTCATAACAAATCTCTCTTGCGTTTTTTTTTGTCCTGTGTCTCTCTTGTTTCTCATCCAATTGGTTATTATAAATTTGTACTATTTTTATTAAAAAATATAATTAATATTTTGATGAAAAAAAATATAATTTAGAGGTAAAAAAAAAAAGACATAAGAGAAATAATACAAGAGAAAAGTTAAATTGAAAAGAAAAAAAAAAAGTTAGCGTACCTTCAAAACAAACTTGCACCTTCATTACCATCCTTTTCTTAATAATTCTTTCTACGAAACTTACAAATAAATACGTTAAAAAAACAAGTCCTCATATATTTTATCATTTATTCCTCTTTCTATGTATTTCGTTGTTGGTATTTTATTCATTATTTATATCTAATTTCCTGTATATATTTTTTATGTAACGTATTTGACATGTTATATATTATTTGTATGCTCACCTATGTCTTTGTATTTTGTAACTGATCATTAATAAATGTGAACAATAACAATGAATATTTAAAAAAAAATATAAAGGAATATATATATATATATATATATATATTATAATATTATTATTTTAAGATAATTATATTTAATTTTCTTTAATAATTATATTTTAAAAATAATTTTTTAATTGAACTAAACACAACTTATTTTATCGGTAATGTTCTTCAAAAGGCTAATAAGACCTATATATATATATATATATATATATATATATATATATATATATATATATATATATATATATATATATATATATATAATTTCATTTTTGTTTTATTTATCCAATTGTACTCTTTCGTGAAGATTTGATCCGTATGGAATATTCATAAAAATTCTGAATCCTAAAAATAATATATTTTAAAACAAAAATTACTCAGATAAAATTTATATGAATTTATTTACTCAAATAAACATGTATATTCTTTATATATAGTTTTTCTTCTCTTTTTTCATAATTTTTTTTTCTCTTTCTTCATTTACTTTTCATCTTTCTCTTTTCTATTTTCTCTCTCCTTTCCTACTTATTCTCCAAGTTAAACTACTATTAAAATTTAATAAAAATATGTTAAAAAAATATTAAAACTAAAAGAATATTAATTAAATATTTAAAATTATGATGATAATAAATAATTTTATTTATGATGACATAAATAAAATTTAAAATTATATTTAAAATTATTTTATCATAATAAATAATTACTTATCTAATTAAAAAATATAAATATTTATAATTTAAATTTATTTTAATCTAGTTATAATTAGGATGAGTTATGATAATTGGGTATTTTAAAAAATAATTTAAAAATATTTAATTTTTTCTTAATAATTAATATAATAATATTTGTAATATCTTAAATTTATCGTATTTTTTTATATTAAATTATAGTATTTCTGAATCATTTAAATATTTTTATTTTTCAATAATAATAAAGGGCTCACCTTATTACATTTTAATATGAAGAATATAATGGGTGAGAGAATAATAAAAGAAGAAAAAAAAGAACGTAAAGTAAGAAATAAACGAAGAGAGAGAAATAAAAAAATAAAAAGAGAAAATTAACTGTATTATGTCAAATGAATTTATTTTCTCTTATTAAAGTTTATTTATGAACCATAAACAGGTTTAGTTAAATAAATAATCTCACAAAGATTCTATTTAAATAATTTTTTTAATATATTATTTATGACCTTGCATCCTCAAATGGTATGTACGGAATATATATATGTAAAATAAATATATAATTAATAAGTAATGTTTATTTTTAAATTTTCATATATTTATAATATATTAATAGGCAAACTTTTGTTATCGAGTAATAGATAATTTATAATTTTGAATAATAGAAATGTTCATTTGTTAAGTAAGTTGATGATCCAATATTACCTAATCTAATTTAAATATATTGATTTAAGTTTTTCTTTTTAATTTTTTTTTATTTTAATTAGATCAAATTCGACCTAATCACTTACAAGTTAAAAAAAAAATATTGTATGTTCAATTGGAGATCTAATATAGCCCACCATATCAAAATTATTATTTAATATTGATAATCATAAAAATAATAGAATTATTATTTTTTTATTCAATTATTATACTAATTAAATATGTAATTTAAAATATTAGATTATTAAATTATTCAAATAATAAATAATATAATTAATTTTTAAAAAATATTCTAAAAAATCTAAAACATGTTTTAAAATTAAAAAATTAATAAAAAATTATTTTTAAAAAATTATGACCCAATTAAACCAACTTAACCTATAATATCTCAAAATTTATCATGTATTTTTTTTAAATCTATTATATTAAATTATAATATATATATATATATATATATATAATAAAAGACTCATTTATTAAAATAAAATATTATTATATTATAAATAAATAAATATTTATTTATTAAACATAAATTATTATTATTATTATTATATATATATATATATAAAATAAAAATATAATAATAATAGTTATTATTATTATGAAAAAAAAGAGATAAGTTTAACCAATGTTTTCAAAATCAAATCCGTTTAGAATACATAGATTTAATGTTTAAAGATTCAATCGAGCTCTAACCAGATTTATAAAATAATATTTTTATAATATAATAAATTTATTAGTAGGAATTGTTTTGAAAAAAAAAAATTATTATCATGACCACCGTAGGTTTGAACGAAAGTTACAATTATAAATATATCAAAAAATATAAAATTGAACGAAAGTTACAACTATAAAAATATCAAAAAGTATAAAATAAATAATGATTGAAATAAGATAAAAATACAGTATAATGATAATTATTATTTAAAATTGATGTAACCAATATGATATAAAAAAAACTAAAATATTTTATATCTTTTATAAAAAAATATATTAAAAAATTGATCATAAACTATTATTTTTTCTAGTAAGATCGCTTCAACTCACAAATCCAATTGATTTTCTTGATTTTTTTTGTTTCATCTCAGTTTTTTTTTTCAATTTAATTAAATATAATTAATTTGAAATAACCGATTTCTAAGCCGATTATTTTGGTCCAATTTTCAAAATAATGAGTTTGACATTTAATGTAAAAAAAAGTAAAATTATATTCAAGAATAAGAAGGGTATGCGGTGAAAATGAAAAAAAGAAAAAAGGAGTAACGAAGTCAAAAACATATATAATGGTAATTTAAAATTGACATCAACTTCAATATTTATGTTTAAATTGAAAATTTTAAAAATTTTAGAATTACGTTAAAATATTTTAATAAATAAAGATATTAAATTACCTATTTAACCATCTATTTTTGTCTCTTATTTTCCTCTCTTATTCATACTTTAATTAAACTACTATATTCAAATTTAATAAAAATATGTTTAAAAAATTATAAAAACAACATTGAAACTAAAAAAATATTAAAAAAATATTTAAAATTATGATGATAATAAATATTTTTATTTATTTTGACGATAAACAATTTTATTTATGATGACATAAATAAATAATTTAAATTTATTTTATCATAATAAATAATTACTCATCTAATTAAAAAATATATAATTTAAATATATTTTTATTTAATATTTTAATCTAGTTAGTTATGATAATTTGGTATTTTAAAAAAATTAAAATAAATATTTAATTTTTTCTTAATAATTATAACATAATAATATTTGTAACCTCTCAAATTTATTAAATAATATTTTTTCTTATATAATAGATTAAATTATAGTATTTTTGGATCATTTAAATATTTTTATTTTTTAATAATAATAAATTACTCTTCTTATCAAATTTTAATATAATATTTTTAATTGAAGAATACTGTTAAAGAAGATCAAAAGTGGACAAAAAGGGAAAAATGAAAACAAAAAGTAAATGAAAAAAGAGAAAAAAAATATATATAGGGAAAGGGAGGAAAAAAAATATATTATGTCAAACAAATTTATTTTCCTTATTAAAGTTTGTGTATATAATTGGGTAAATAAATTTAGAAAGATTCTACTTGAGTAATTTTTCTTTTTAAATATATTATTTATGACATTGTGTCCCTATTTTATTAATATATACTAATTTTATTTTATATTTATTTATTTATCTATTATTACATATTGATGTCTATTTATTAATTTATATTTATACTATTTAATTGTTTTAAATTTTTCTTAAAGAATAATTTTAATTTATGAAGATTTAATGATGTTGTAGATGAAAATTAGACCTTGAAAATTGAAATAAGAAAATATCTTTTAAAAAACAGTTAAATTTGAGCTCATTTATCTTAACTAATTATTACAAATTTACCTCAAACTTTCATATTATATTATATTATATATATATATATATATATATATATAAATGAAATATGATAATTATAAATAAATCAATCACTTTAAGAGAAAAAAAATACTTATCAATTTTAATAATTATATTTAATACGGAAGTAACATAAACTTGTAAATTTTATATATTTATAATTATAAACATATAACATTTATCATATGTTTTATTTTTGTCAAGATTTAATAAAAAATATTTATTTCTTAAAATATAATTAAATTAATAATTTAATAAAAACGCACGTCAAATAATCTAATCCAACCACGATGAGTTGTGTTAGATTAACACTATTAAAAAGTTAGTTATTTTTTGTAAAAATTTATTTAAATTTGTAGGAAACTTATTTCGCAATTTTTATAAAAATATTACAAAAATATTCTCATGAAATATATGAAATATATGAGAATATTTGCTCACAGGTTTAAAAAAACAATTTAGAAATTTATTCATAAAATTTTATTTTTACAAGTTATGTTTTTTTTTTCATATCATAATATTTTTTATACAAGGACGTGTTATAAAATAGTTTTTGTACATTTTTTAAATAATTTTTATGTAAGAAAATTTCATAAAATAATATATATATATATATATATATATATATATATATATATATATTAAAAAAAGATTTAAATTCGGGTAATATATCATATTTGAAACAAAATAATTTCAATTTTATTTAAGAATAATAATTTTTAAACAAGGTATTGCTAAATATTTAACTTTTGATATTATCTTTGATGAATTTTATAGAGAAAAATATTATCCATTACAACATAGTTTTATTAAAAATTAAATATACATTGAAGTGCATGCATAAAAATATTCGTGTAAAGCACATAAATTATTGCTTTAAGCACATTTAAAAAAAAAAAATGAATTTTAAATCTACTACAAAAGACTTGCTCATTATTTTATTTGTGAGGGAATGCTCAATGACAAAGTTCATGTGTAACAAATAATCTTTACTAACAAATTTTTACTGAATTTTTGTTATAAAATTTGTCCATTAAATAAATGTGAAAGTTAGTCACAAATTTAATGTATTTGTCATAAAATAAGTCAAGCATTACGAAGTAAAAATTTCATATCTCACATATAGTCACTATTAACAGATTTACAATGAATTTCTATCAATAATTAGTCCCTACATGCCTTTTGTTTAAAGTTTGTCACAATCAAATACACATTACGAAGGATTTAAGGTTATTACAAACATTCATAAAAAATGGAAAATGTTTAGTAATATTAGCTACTCTTAATAAGAAAAACTACATTAATTTTATAAGTTAATTATATCTTAGTATATTTATCACTTGTTTGTGATGAAACTGAGTTTATTTTAAGATATTGCTTGTCACTTAATTTTTTTTATACGCCACAACAAAAGAACATGATGGTACATGTGCATATAAATAAAAATAAATGCAAATTAAAAATAAAAAAATGCTTTAAGAAGAGTTTTATTGATCAATTAATGAATGAAATTAAAATGCCAGCTAATTTTTGCAATGTGTTCTTGCATGCTTAGTTTATCTAGCGATGTTTGTCAAAAAAACTGAAAAAGTGGTCCTTGTTGTCAGCGCAAAACATGGCATGTATTTTGTTCATCTTTTGTATTATTATAGATTTATGTATGTAATTAATAACTAATAAATGTGCACAATAATAATGATAATAATAAAAAATAACATTTTCAAAGTTAACGAGTGAGTTTTCAAAGAGTTCATATATACATTGAAACTTTCTTTCATAGAACTTGATGTTTAACGGCTTATTTGGGAATATTTTTTTCAAAATAATTAATTATTTGTAGTTTTTAAAAAATAAATTAAATACAATTTATTTTACTTTTTAAAGTAATAAATGCTAGTAAAGACGTTTGTTATTAAAAAAATTAATATTATTGAGGCATTAAAGCAAACTATCTCTACTTATTTTACTTTTATTATTCCTTTCTTTTTCTTTCATTTTCATCTTTGGACTAGAATTGAAATCTAAATCTGCTCCAAAACAAATTCCAGGTGCGTACATCTTCTTTCTTCTTTCACTTTCTTTTGTTTTCCTTTTGATGCTCGATGATCAAACTTGATTCAATTCAATACATCATATTTGTATTTATGTTAAAGTATATAATTAGTTTTACTGGTATTTTTTTATTATGTAAGTGACAAGGTTATTGAGTCGTTTTGTTCATAGGACCAAAAACTAGCATTGCCTTAACTCAGGACTTTTAATTTTGTTCTTCTGTTACAAGCGGTGTGCATGCTACATACAAGCCCACATTACCATTGTATATTTAATTAATTAATTTATTTATTATAACTAGAGTTGTAATAAAGGTTTAATTTTTTTATTTATTTACTATAGTTAGAGTTGTGATAAAGGTTTAATTTTTTATTTATAAATTCATTATTTTTAATATAAATTCTGATTATTATAAAAAAATTAATATAATTTAAAATCGTACATAAAATTATTGTTTATCATTATAATATTATTATAATATTATTGTAGCGTAATTATGTTATGAATTTAAATTAATCAAATTATTATTAGACCGAGAACAAAAGTTATAATAAAATTTCAGAATTTTTTATTGATTTTTGATGAAATTTAGATTTCAATATTTTATTTTAAATTATAAATATCAATGTGTGTTTGAATGGGTGTGGTAAAGTAAGATGTTATAGAGTACTAGAAGCACCTCACACTAGATTATTTTGAGATAACATATAATAGTAAAATGTAAGGTGATACACTAATAAATAATTTATGAAAGTTATATCACCAACCATAATCTGTATATCAGCAGCCCCAATACTTACAACTTAAATAACCATAATTGCAAAATTTAGAACCATGACTTAAGTTTGATTAGAAATGTTATGTAATGGGTTTGTAAGATGTTTATGCTTTATTCTTTTTTCTCTTCAAACATAAGAAGTCATCTATATTGGTGTAACTCTGTATCTTATGTCATTTTATCTTCATAATTTTTTATTTGATATGCATGAATGATTTTTCTTATTGCATATACTTATGTTCAATTTTCATGAATGTGGTAAAAACAATTCACAACATAACAGCATGGACGAGAACAAACATGGTGAAGCAGCGGAAGGAGATGCCAACAACACTCCGCCTCCTCCCAATCCTCCAACACAGACTGTTGGTCGTGTTGTCCCTTCATCATCCCTGCGGATACCTGAAGAACCATTGGAGCAACGACTGAACAAGTTCTGGGATAAACAGTACCAAGAAATTGAGGAGACCACTAATTTCAGGAATCACAGCTTGCCTCTGGCTAGGATCAAGAGGATAATGAAGTCTGACGAGGAGGTGAAACTGGTAGCAGCTGAGGCTCCTGTGGTGTTCGCCAAGGCATGTGAAATGTTCATTACGGAGCTCACAACGAGAGCATGGGTTAATGCTGAGGAGAACAGAAGGAGAACACTTACTAAGGCTGACATTGTATCTGCTATGTCAACTACTGATATGTATGATTTTCTTATTGATATTGTCCCCAGAGAAGACACAAGGGAGCATCAAGTGCATGCAGGCATACCAGGAACAAGCATGTTTCCAACTCCAGCTGAGAATGTTCCTTACTATCCTATGCCACCTAATCAACGTGTTGCAGACCCTGCAGGCCCACAATATGGTGTTCCGGTGATGCTCATGGGAAATCCAAGTCTTGATGAAAATCATCATGTCCCGCAAAATCATCCTTCTCCAACTCCAATGTTGCCCAATCCTGGCGGACATAACAACCATTCTCCTAATTCAGATGATTGAGCAAACAAAAGTTACATGGTGAAAAACTTATTATTAAGGATTTGGTGTATGGTCAATATTCTCAGCAGACTTTTGTTTGAATTTTCCTTTCTAATGGTTTATTAAACTGAATTTATAATATTTGTGATGCGAACTTATTTAAGTGTTTGAAACTGATATATCCTTGGCAATAATTCCAAGGTTGTTTTATTGTTATATTGGGATTGAAGTATATGCTACCATATATTGTTATTTAGATATATATGGTGAAAGGACAAAGGTCATGTTTGATCGATCATTGTTGTCTATTCCAAAGCACAAACGTTATTCATAGGTAAACTGAGGAAACTTCAATTGCATTGGTGAAATTTCAGATCTATTATCTCCTATATAACATGTCATACAACAGCTAGAAATTTTAGTATGACATTCCCTATGAACATCAGATTAGTGATTGGGATCACTAATATGTTGCTCAAGTCTGACCAATGGATGAGCAAGGAAGGATGAATAGGATATTTATATTTGTTAAAGATTTATTTATGTTGTCATTGCTTTCTTTCAAAGAATATATAGTGACAGACAATTATTAACTTCTATATTTAATGTCAGATAATAAAGAGAATTCACTGAAACTGTGATCCAATAAAAAAACTTAGCAATCTCAGGTTCTTTCTAAATATTTGACTAGTAAAAATGTCATACATGAATCAGCCCGGAGCTTCAACCAAATCACACTGCCAATGAATCAAGATTTAAATATTTTTTGTGTCATTGCAGTTAGAATTGATTAGGACCATTTGCATGAAATATTTTCCATCGCAAAACCCAGAATATCGAAATGAGGAACTTACTGATTGGATAGCACAAATTATGTACTTCATAATTAAGTACTTTCTGAACAAGACTCTTATATACATTGACACTTGGGGTTCGAATAGAACTGCTAAGTCATAGCACTGGCAAGGTCAAAATTATTTGTAACAGGAAAAAGTCCATCCTTAAAAATGCCCTGAAATTTTATGAGACTTGCCATAAGCACAGAAGCTAAAATGCAATCCATATTTGCCCATGATAATTAATCAGACTAGTAAGTGTCCAAACTTCAGCATCCAAGTATTTGCACAATCCAAAATGGATAAACTGAAAATTCATGACATGTTTTATTTACATGTAATAATATCTATAAACTCATTTCAATTGATACATATGAAATTATAGAACTCTGCTACCAAATTTTATGATAAATACAGACAAATAAATAAATAAATAAAAGTTAAACTTTTCAGATTAAAAAATAAGTCAATACAGGGAGTACATATTTAGTGACATTTTTTGAAACAATGAATGTTATTAAAACCATGATTCCTAAAACGGATTGGAGTAAACGTATAGGTTTAAGGTTTAACGGCTTAATCAAAAATTAAATAGAAGTTAAATCGAATTTAATAAAATAATATATTTTAACAATATAATAATATACTGAAGTTAAAGTTTATTATAATATAATAACAATTCGAATTTAATACAATTGTTATTTTAAAAAAATATTATATAATAATAAGAATAATTTGTAGAATAAAAAAAAAGAAAAATAACATAAATAAACATATATCACTAAACATTTGAAATACGAGAAAAAAATTGTTGCTCCATCTAATTTAAAAATAATTAGGATAAAAAAATTATAACTAACTTAAAAGTAATTAAAGAAAAAAATTGTATTATATATTTCATTGTATCTCACTTCAAATTTTATATATTTTATTTTATTTTATTTCAAGACATAGTTATGAAATCTAAAATAATTTATTGTTTATTCATCAAATTAATTTTTGAAATTAAAATATTGAAATTCTTATATGTTATTATATTTTGTATTTCCATGAATGATTACAGTGATGATAATAATAGATAATGATGACAATCAAGACGACTGTCGAAAGGAGACAATAAAAGGAGTGAGTAACTATAACAATGACAATTGTAAGAACAAATATTATAGTAAAAGAAGGATATGTTATTGTATTTTGTATTTCCATGAATAATTACAATGATAATAATAATAATAGATAATGATGACAGATCAATACGTTATCGAAACGAGACAATAAAAAAAATAATTAACTATAAGAATGACAATTATAAAAATAAATGTTATAATAAAAGAAGGATATTACCACTAGTAAAAAAAATAAATTTTTTTTTGCATGTTTTACATGTCTGTATATTAAACTAAAGAAAAAAAGATATATAGAACAAAACTATATCCTTTAGCTCTTTTAAAAGAAAAAAACCAGGTGACCCATTTGGTTTCACCGATTTTTTGGATTTTAAACCGGTTTCTTATTTAGTTGATTTTAAGGGAACTCTGGACCAATTATTACATCAATTCCCATTTCAACTGGTCAAACGGCTGGTAAATCCAAATTTGATAACCATGATTAAAATTAAGACTAAATATCATTTTATTTATAAAATATCAAATTGAACAAATTTTAAATAAAAGATATTAAGATTAGTTTAGTTATAAAATAAAATTTTGTTAATATATTTTATTATTCTAATTAAGTTAAAAAAAATGTAATACCTGACGAAAAATTAATTTATTCATATCTTTATACAAGTCAAAGACCCAAGAAGTTCAAAGTTCAAATCCACTTAGTTGGCAGATTCAGTTGGCGTCAATAGTTTATCTCAGAATTCAAGAACAATAGAAATTTCCTCTTTCTTTCTTTTTTTTTCTTTGTTTTCTAGGTTTGGGCATTAGGGTAATTGTAGTTGTAAATTCCCAATTTGAAAACGACGTATCGATGACACAGTTTTCGCCATATTTATTCCGTTTCATAGAGGTAGTGTTCTGTTGTGTTCTGACTGAACTCTAAGAAGCATGGGTCCAAAACCAGGGTCGGACATGAAGATGAACGCGATGAGGTCAGGGATAGTGATTCTAGGAGCACTTCGGCTACTTGAGCATTCAAATCAAGTTCCTTAATTTTTACAAACGCATAATTGAGTCTATTATTTATTTTCAATGAGTTGAAAACTGGATTGTTTAACGAAACGGATGTTGCCACCCTTATACTGGGTTATTACAAAGTGTTAAGTGTAAGAAAAATTATTTAATAAAAATTGTATATTATTTTTATATAATTTGAATATTTAATACAATATACACTTCATTACATAAATAGAAAATGCATAGCTATTATTATAAAATAAAAAATAAAAATTATTTACACAAATATATTTAAATTTGTAGAGACCAAATAAAATTATTTTCTGAATAAATAAATAGATAAATCTATTTCCCTGTTTTCTTTTCACTATTTTCTTCATGATATTATTATTCATTATCCATTTTGGAAGCAAGGGTTCATTTAGCACACATTTTTGTTCCCAGTAAGTGTAGTTTCGAAATCATTATCAATGGCGAACGCGTACTTCTTCCTTTTCTTTCTCCTTCCCCTGCTTCTTCTGGTGGTACTCTATTTCCTGGTTAAACCGCGTCCGGTGAAGATCCCGATAAAGAACCGGCACGTGTTCATCACGGGCGGATCCAGCGGCATTGGGCTGGCGCTGGCGCATCGTGCGGCGGCGGAGGGCGCGCGAGTGTCTATCCTGGCGCGGTCGCTGGAGAAGCTGGAGGAGGCACGAAACGCTATCCGGCTGGCGACGGGAATCGAGGTGGCGGTGTTCTCAGCGGACGTGCGGGACTTCGAGGCAGTGAAGCGCGCGGTGGACGAGGCCGGGCCAATCGACGTGCTACTGCTGAACCACGGCGTGTTCGTGGCGCTGGAGCTGGAGAAGATGGAATTGAGTGAGGTGAAGTTCACCCTGGACGTCAATCTCATGGGAACGTTGAACTTCATCAAGGCTGCGCTGCCCGCTATGAAGAACCGTAAGGATCCGCTGCCCGCTTCCATTGCCCTTGTTTCCTCACAGGCCGGTCAGGTAAACCTGCAACTCTTTATGCCCTCGGTTATTTCTTATCAGAAAATCTATTATGTGAATTACTATTATTGAATTTATACATGTGAATTATTTGGTTGTATATATGTACATTTTTTTAGGTTTTGGTTTCTATAACTACAAATAAATGTTTATAGTCCTAATGTATACACCTTTTACTTCGATTTAGGCTTTGCTGACTCTATAAAATTGACCAGATTAAACTAAAAAAATTATCTGTAGGAAGTGAAACGAGTTAAGCAGTGTATGTACAAATAATAAAATGGGTAGTTTCTAAGTGCATGTTTGGATTAAAGTTTGCAAAAGCAATTCAGGTCTTACTGCTGCAGAACTAAGTTCGCAGAGAAAATTTTAATGTGCAAGTATGTTTATGAGAACAACCAAACGTGTCACATGACCGAGTTTACTTTCTAAACCTAGTTTGAAACATTCCAAACTGAAAACCAAACATAGCCTAAAACATAAAGTTTTAACAGGTATAAAGACTAAACATATTAAACTACATTGTTTTTATTTATTTGATGTGGAATTTATGTTTATGTTAGGTGGGCATTTATGGTTTCGTAGCTTACTCTGCGAGTAAATTTGGCCTCCGTGGTTTAGCAGAGGCATTGCAACAAGAGGTTATAGCTGATAATATTCATATTTCATTGATTTTTCCTCCGGATACGGATACCCCAGGATTGGCAGAAGGTAGGTATTGAATTGGATGCTTGAGTTTATTTCCTCATACTACTTTTGCTAGTTGCTACTTCATTTTGCATTGTAAATGGGCTGTTAGTTTATGTAAAGCTCACCATAGAAATCAAGTACTTGCTGTAACTCCTTCAAATTACTTGGGGTGTGCTTGATTTCAATTTCCAGAAAATGTTTTTAGTTTCCAAAATGTAACTAGAAAAGTTGCTCAAATAGCTGATAGAGAGTGTTGCAAGGCACGGAGCATACTGTGAAATTGAGGAAGATGTTGAACAAAATGAAAATAAAAAGATGACAAAAATCTTGTTTCTGTTTTTTAGTTTTCAAAACACTTTTTGGAAAACAGTTTTCAT